ATAATATAAATAATAATAATAATAATAGTAAATAAATAATGAATAAATAAATGTACCTTAAAATGAACTAAAGATGATAACACTAGTCACGGCTTCTATCATAACTATTTTATAGTATAATTATAAATAATATAATTATAACCATAATTATTACTTATAATTAGTGAGAAACGAGTTCATTATAATTTTTGTTACTTATTGAAATATTATAACATATATATATATATATATATATATATATATATATATATATATATATATAACAAGAACTGTGAAACCGTCACCATACATAATATTTGTAAATAATAATTAATTAATTAAATAATTAATCAATGAATTAAATGGATAGGTAAAAGATTGAATGCAATTAAATTAACGACCAAATAAACTTATCGATATACGAATTTTTATTAATTTAATTATTCAATCTTAATTAATTACATAAATAAATAAACAATCAATTAATTAAACTTAATTAATTAATTAATCCATTAAACTAGACCAATTAACTACAACTAGATGATTGAGATGGAGAGCAGTTGGAAACAAACACACGCGAACGTAGGTGGATGAAAAAAAAGAACGAAATGATGTTTATAATCTCATTAACAGAGAATAGTTAAACTCGTCATATATGACTTAATAAGTAAAATATGTCATTAATTTAATAATAATAATAATAAATAAATAAATTAATTAATGATAAACAAATTAATTAATTAGTTAACTCATTCATTTATCCATTCGTACATTGTTAAATTAACGAACAACCTTAATTCTGAGTTATGCATAAATTTTCCTTAATGCTTGAGAGAAACAATTTAAACAAGAATGTGTGCGCGTGTAGTGTATGCACATACGCTAAATACATTAATGTACGCACATAAACACACCCACACACAAATATATTGCATACAATAATAATTAATACAATGAACACACAAATATGAACAAAATACATCCTCCCATTCACACACACACACACACACACACACACACACACACACACACACACACACACACACACACACACACACACACACACACACACACACATATACACGCACTTACATACACGCACACACATACATGCACACGCACAAACACACGTGCATATGTAAATTAATGTTTTCATTATACAAACGTTTCGTTAGATTAGATAAATAGGCAAGAAAGAATAAAAACTATATTTTTCTAACTAACTAAAACAATAAAAATAAAGATAGCCTATATTTAAAGAAGCAACGCTAATAATGCAAAAGTTAATTAATGATGGCGAAAATTGTTACTTCTAAAGCAGACCATTGCTGTTTAACCAGGTTTGAATGCGAAAATAATTCTATCACCCATTCAAACGCCTGATTTTGAGATGCATTGTTTTATACAGAAGTATGTTATGTATGTGTGTACGTACGTATGTATGTATGTATATGTGTGTGTGCGTGCGTATATGTATGTGCGTACGTGCGTGCGCGTTTCTTAACGCAACTTTAGAGTATCATAGAGCTGAGTGAATTTTAAAACAACAGATGAACCATTAATAGTATCTGGAATGAATGAATGAATAAATAAATAAACGAATGAACGAACTAATGAACGAATAAATAAAAACAAATGGATGGATAAATAAGAATAAAAATATACATTAGCATATGTTAAAAAAGTAATCCGTTAGAAACTTACGGAAACTAATAACAGTTAGTCAGACGGTAAACAAACGATGGATTGGATGAACATAGGACATGAGACCAATTTGAAAATACCCGATAACCAAAAATAACAACAGCGTAAAAACCAAAACATGACATCATGACAACAAATATAACACTAACAAAGCCATATTGTATACGTCATCAGCAAAGATGTATCCAAAGAGAGACACGTCAATGGAACGTGTGTGTGTGTGCCCTGTTGGCCGACGGTTCATGACGTCATGTGACTACAACAAAAAACATGACCATCGTAATATTAATGTTGATGACGACTGCTATTAAATGATGATGAAGATAACGACGATGTTGTTGCTGACATGATAATAAAAAAAAACAGATAATAAAGATAACGTTTAGGAGAAAAAAACTTAGTAGTTAGGCTAAAGATAGATGAATCGACGAAAAAAAATAGATTAATAGATAGTCAGACAGACAGACAGACAGACAGACAGACAGACAGGTAGGTAGGCAGGCAAACCGACTGACAGACGATAGACAAACAGAAAGATAGGTAGGTAGATAGATATACCATAATAAATGACAAAATACATTTGTGAAGCGTTTTAATACGTTTAAAACAAAGTTTAACACATCAAACATATTCAAAACTAATTATAACATAGAAGATGTTAACAGAGAAAGCCTGACGTATAACGAAAATGAGCGATTCAATTAAGTAAACGACTTGAAGAACAATTTTTAAAATACTTAACCAAGATACATAACGTCTTAGTCATTTGAAAAAAATGTTTTTAAAATGCTCTAAAAACAAATAAACAGAATACTATAAAAATAACAAATAAATAAATGGATTAATCAATATAAAACTCAAAAAATGTGATGGAATGTTATTAAGAACAATTCAAATAAAACTTGAATACCAAAAAATAACAATAATAATAAAACTTGCAATAAAGCAAATTATAAAAGATACAGATTTGAGAAAAAAAAAACAAAAAAAAACAGCTTACATTCAAATCGCAAAAATCAGCACAATATACAACAACATACAACAGCTACAATGACATACAACGACAACATTAAAATATGCAAACATACAAAAAACATATGACTACATGCAACCACTCATACGACAAAAAACATACAAAAGATACAAACAGCAGAATCAACATACCAAAATATACACAACAACACAACAAACAACATACAAATCATACAACAAACAACGTATAAAACACACAAAAACATACGATATACAAAACAACATGCAAAACATACAACATACAAAACATACGATGACGGCGCAAACAGTGAGCTAATTAATGCAGTAATCGATTTCTGATTTTTTATTGCTTCTTCAAAAAAAATTACGAGCTCGAAAGAAAAAAAATTGAAAATAAAACAACTTGCAACAAAAAAATTCACCAATCACATCAAAACATAATAATAACAACAATAATAAAAACAATAACAAAATAATAACAATGATAAGTTAATCATCCAACTTAAGAAAACTGCGATGAATTACACTTAATAAGCACAACCGAGTAGTGATAGAAGATAGTTAATAATTATCCATCTTCTCCATAAAATTCTTCTTCTTTTTCTTCTTATTATTATTACTATTCATTTACTAAATAAATAAAATGAATTATTAATGCGTAATATTTGAAAACATTTTTTTATAATTTAAATTTTTTAATTCTTTAAACTCACGCACGAAGAAATTTATGAAGGATAATAAAAAAAATTTCTATCTAACATGTAAAGATGTAAAAATATAGAGAGTAAGTGAACAAACAAACACACACACACACAGACACATATACAAACACAAACACACATACTAACACACAAAGACAAGCATACAACACACGTACATTCATATACAAAAACGTATAAAAATGCATTCACACACATATACATACATACAAACACAAAAGTTAAGCACACGCATATTTATAAACAAATCAAAAATTAACACGTATATGCAAATATACCTACACACACACATACATAAATACATGTATATACATAAAAACACACACACACAAAACTACACAAACATACTTACGCACACATACACATACATACAAACAAATAGATAGATGAATCAAAAGACTCTAAGATAGAAAAAAATTCACATTCTTGAAGTTTTATACAAATAACAATTCTATATTAAAATCTAATTATATATGACTAGAGTTAATAAATGGATACAGAAAATATATACAGATAAATATATTCAATATTTGATCGAATCTACCAAATTTTTAGCTTTTGAAATTACAGTTAGAAATATTGAAAAGCTCAACCGTAAACTTTCAGAAATTTATAAATTCGGTAGATTTTATCAAATCTTGTATCAATTAAGATCTTTTTCCAGCCTATGTAGATAATATATTATATATATATATCACATATATCAACCAATATTAATATTAAAAAATGAGATAAAATTGATACATGGATAACAAAGGACTGAATGAATGCTCTATTATAAGTTAATCATTATTATAATAATATATTAGGTTGGTTAATTATTTATAGGCGTACGTTAAATAATAAATTCTATTCATTTGAGAAAAAGAAACAGTTAAAAGGGATGGTATGGAAATCTGTCAAGCCTAATTTAATCGATTGATTGATGGATTGAAAAAATGAATGAACGAATGAATGAATGAACGAACGGATGAATGAATGAGTAAAAGATATTTCATCGACTGGATGAATGACAGAAAGACTGATTGATTGAATATGTAGAAATGAGTGATTGAAAGTTGGCTTGATTGGATGAATGAACGTAAGAAATGAGAAAAAAAATAAGTGAATAGTCATCTATGGAATGTAAGAAAACTATCTCTGGTATGGGTTCGCTTCCTTCCTTCATCACATTGGCATCATCTGAGTACGATGAAATTATTATTTTCAATGAAATGCAAATATTATATCTTTATTCAAAAGACAAAATCACTCATTAATTCACTCACTCACCCACTCAACTCACTGACTGACTGACTCACTCGCTCGCTCACTCATTCACTCACTGACTCACTCATTCACTCACTGACTCACTGACTCACTCACTGACTCACTCACTCACTCACTCATTTTCCGGGTCCATTTCCGAGGAACCTCATGAGTGAGCCGATGCCCCCTTCGATAATGCTGGCAGGCCCTGAGGTAAGTGATGATGACGACCTAGATTCTCCTGATGATGATACCGATGAAACTGCGTGGGTGGCCTCTTCGACCTTTGATCGATTGATTGATTGGTTGATTGATTGACAACTTCAACAACAACAAAAACAAAAACAACTGCTACTACTACAACAACGGAACATCAAAAACCACAAAACAATCATAAACTTGTAATCTGCTGCAGATGCTTTGGTAGGTTTTACTGTTCAAAACTGACTCCGACACTCCTTGTAACTCAAAATCTGAATAGCATTTCTGTGTGTGTGTGTGTGAATGTGTGTGCTCGTGTATTTATGCGCGCGTGTGTGTGCGTGCGTGTGTGGTGTGTGTGTTGTGTGGTCATAATAAAATTAATAATAAGACATCCATCTCAGAATAATTATCTTTGATTCAATAAATTAATGAAGGTTCAAATAAATGAAGTGAACAAATTAGTAGATGAATGAATGAATGAACGAACGAATGAACAAACAAATGAATGACTGAACGAAGAAATAAACAAATAAATTTATGCCAAAAAAACAAAATTAAAATGACTACCCTAGAAATGCTAAGAAGGCAGTTAAGTTGGTAAGGGTGCAGTGAGGAATCAATCCTCTCAACCAACCAATCATTCATCATCTTTATCTGTGACGTGTACCAAGTCTGTTGGTTGTGAATGTGTGAATGAATGAATGAATAAATAAACGAACGACTGGATGAATAAAGAAATGAATAAATGAATGAACGAATGATCGAACAAACAAATATAGATTTATAAACTGGAAAAACGATGAAATAAATGAGTGGATGAATGAATGAATAAGTAAATGAGCAAATGGATGAGTGAGTGAATAAATGAAGGAAAGAATGAATGAAGAAATGAATGAAGGAATGAATGAGTGAATGAAACAATAAGAACCTCGAGAAGATTGAGTATGTACAACTCGTCCGCAACTTTCTGACGTACCTGATCCAGACTGACACGCATGAAACTTATGTAAGATCTACTCAGCTCATCCGTCGGTTTCTGCTCGAAACATAACAATAACGATAATAATAATAATAATAACAACAATAATAACAACAACAACAACAACAACAATAATAATAATGATAATAATGATAATGATAATAACACTAACTGTTAATGTGAGGACAGATGAGAATAAGGAACCCTGATCGTACCTGGCCAACTTGCCCAGTGCATTCTCCAACACGCACAACAACTATTGAATTCATTTGAGGTCAAAATTATTTCCTCCGAATAAGAATAATAACAATAGTAATAATCAAATCAACAACAATGGTCAGTCAGTCAGTCAGTCAGTCAGTCAGTCAGTCAGTCAGTCAGTCAGTCAGTCAGTCAGTCAGTCAGTCAGTCAGTCAGTCAGTCAGTCAGTCAGTCAGTCAGTCAGTCAGTCAGTCAGTCAGTCAGTCAGTCAGTCAGTCAGTCAGTCAGTCAGTCAGTCAGTCAGTCAGTCAGTCAGTCAGTCAGTCAGTCAGTCAGTCAGTCAGTCAGTCAGTCAGTCAGTCAGTCAGTCAGTCAGTCAGTCAGTCAGTCAGTCAGTCAGTCAATTTCTCAATCAGACAATCAATCAATCAGTTCATACATACATACCCTTTCTAATAACGACTTGGTCATCTGCAGATGAACTTGTTCTAACAATTCATCGTCACTATAGAGTTGCTTTTGGTTGATTGATTGTTTAATTGACACATTGAGTGATTGTATAATCGACTAGCGGATTGATTGATTGATTTATTGGTTGATTGGTTGATTGATTGATTAAGAGAATGCATAAACAACTATCCTAAAAAATTTGAATAAAATACCATTATTGCAGCTAATGTTATAATGTGGCTAACAGGCGGATGATAAAAAACTAAAATAACAAAAGACAATTATAAAAACGATCATCATTGCTCTTTAATTCCAACGAGTCTCTACATTAAAACCATCTCTGTCTGCAATGCACCCATGATCTTCAACTTAATTGCAATTTCACTAACAACTTGAACACAAACAAACTAACAAACAAACAAATGAACGAACAAAAGAACGGTAAAACGAACGAATAAATAAATAAAAAACAAACAAACAAACAAACAAATTCAACGAAAGGTCAAAATACAGATATACATGCGCACACATACAAACATACAGATATACATACATACACAGGCAGACACACAAACATACAGACAAACCGAAAAACAAACAAACAAACACACAAACAAATACACATGGATATACATATATACACAGGCAGACAAACAAACACACACAATTATACATATTTACACAGACAGACGAACAAACAGACAAACAAGCAAACACATACATACACACTCGCGGATGCATACCTGATTCTTAAAGTCTACGATGACATTCAACATGACTAGCATCTCAGATGGGAAGACATAATCCGTCGTTCGCGGTCCTTTCTTCAACCAACTCTCAAATGCTTTCGATACCCTGGTGATAATGATTATGATATCAACGATGAAGATACCAGAGATAATGATATCACAGATGATGATATCACAGATGATGATATCACAAATGATGATATCGCAGATGATGACGACGTTGAGGATGGCAAATGATAAAGATGATGAAAATGACGCTGACGATGATGGTGACAAGAATGAGACAATGATGTTTAAAAATATGACAATGATGATGATGATGATGACAAAAATGATAACAAATATAATGACGATGACATTAGTAATGATGAATATGATGAGTAAATACACCTTTTTTTAAAAAATGCATCACAACTCCATGTAGCATGAACTCATAGGAAGGAACCAATCAAACATTCACAATGAAGATGAATAGAAATGTAATAGGAATATCAGGTTTTTACGTAGCATACATTACACAGCATACAATGAAATGTAGCCTACCCAAACAGGACAAAACAATGGAAAAATGCGAAACTTCTAACGCGTAAATTGTACAACAAGCAATATCACAGAGTAATATTACAAAACCACATGATACAACACACACACACCAAAAACACCACACACACACACACATACACACAGACACACACACCATAAAACAACACATACAACACACACCACACACCTTTTAGAAGCGGCTTCAATCATCTCGGACGAGATGACCTTTAACCTATGATTTAGGTGATCGGCGAAGACCTCTTCCGGCCAGTGAAGGTCATGCACGAAGGTCTGTAGGGCCTCCAACTTCCACAACATGTCCTCAGATGTCGCACAACCATTCCTGAAAAATAATAATAACAATTATTATTATTATTATTATTATTATTCGTGGATAACTATTGATATATCCATCCAACTATCAATAGATCCATCCAATCATCGATATATCCATTCAACCCTCGATATATCCATCCAATCATCGATATATCCATTCAACCCTCGATATATCCATCCAACGATCAATATATCAATCCAGCAAGTAAAACAAACCCCTGTGGTTTCCAGAGTTCCCTTTCGAAGCCATTGTTAACGGATTGAGCGATGGAAGACTCCATGAGGTCTACATACCTGACGACCAGGGGTGCAAATGCGTCACGCAGGTGACTGTGAAATTTGCCTCCGCATAAACTTTCTGTTCAATCAATCAATCAATCAATCAATCAATCAATCAATCAATCAATCAATCAATCAATCAATCAATCAATCAATCAACCAATCAATCAATTAACACAACAACACAACATTCATTCGACTAACCAGACAGTCAATAAACCGATCAACCAACCAACCAACCAATAGACCGACCAACCATGATTTCTGAGGTAATCATTGAGCATTTGAAAAAGCGGGAAACTGTCCCAAGTATCAGGTGGTTGGTTCTCAAGCAGAGCATCCATGTCCACTGAGAACAGAGACCAAAAAATTTCTGCGTGTTCCACCATTAGGTCGCTGAACCACGAAAACGCCTGGAAAGAAGTTAACACAAAACTCGCATTTTTACTAGCAGCATAGAATTTATGTTTTTTTTTTATACTTTAATTCCGACTCCCATTTCATTATATTCATTCGATGTTCTCTTCTCATTTATATTTATAAATCTTTTCTTTATGCCTTTGTTACTACCCTGGGTCATTTTCTCATGTCACTTCTTTAAATTTCTCATCTTTATTTTTCTTTAATTTTCAATCTTTTATTTATTTATTTATTTATTTAATCATTCAAATGAATTCTTACGCCTTCGTCGGGGTTTGATTTTTACGAAAAAAAAGAAAAATTCGCGCAAAATTAATAGCATATTATAAGATAAATAACATTATAACATTTAACATTTAAGAATTAATGAGAATGTTTTGGCAGGTACATGCATGTAAGTAAAATTTACTACTGGCCATCAAATAGGTAGTCTTTCATATTCGGAGTGAGCATTTTAATGACGATGACAAAAGATGATGAGAGATGATGATAAATAGGCTCTGATGAAAGAATTTAGTTTGACACTTATATACATAAAAAGTTATATAGGGTTATATAGAGTTGAATGGGATTCCCGCGATTCCCGTTCCAATGCTCACCACATCTGACCACACAAACACACACACACACACACGCACGCACACACACACACACACACAAACAGCGTGTGGTAAATTAACTCCTAACGTATAATGATTAAATTACAATAATAATCCAAACAATGATGATGAAAGGATAATGGTACTAACTAATACTAATGACAATAAAACCTACAGCAGAGTTTTAACAATGATTATAACTTAACGGTGATGTCCGAGTGAATGATGACTAAAGTGTAATAAATCGTCGATGAGTGAGTAAATAATGTATTGTGGTGATGATTGTAAACATGTTTGTGTTCGGTGCGTAGCACGAATATAACTAATTCATACATTCAAATCTGTGAGAATTTCACACTGCTACAAATTTATTTATTCCACATCCAGGTATAAATGTAATTAGGTAATTAATGAATGATTTGCGATATCAAATTAAACTAAAACTCGAGAGGTGTCTAGACATAATAAAAAATGTGTGTGTGTATATATATATACGCTTCAGTGCAGGGCTCTTTATATCCTAAAGTAATAACATCCAGTGTATCTCTAACTCTATGTATCTATGACAGTGTATCAGTGCATTTAATTAGAATTAGATAGCGTAATATACTTTACACAAAATAGTAATAGGATATATCAGTCTCAAAAAAAGGTTGATAATCACATAAAAATGGTTATGGTGACATAAATGATGATGGACAAATCCGAGCTTTGATAAGATCTTGAAATCTGATAATTTTTATAATGATACTTGAAACAATTCTGCTAAATTGCTTTAGGATAATTGAAGTTTCGTCATCGTGTCATGCAAGTGTCTCAGTATTTATACATACATTAAATTTATAAGGCATAGTTATGGAAGAGAAAAAAAATGAATAAAAATATTTTAGGAGTGAGACAATTTGGAAATGTATTGATAACACGTGCGTGATTTGTTAAATTGTGAAAGCTAATGATAATACCCAATAAAATGTTTATAACTTTCTGAAAATTTTTTTTTTAATTAATAAAAATTTATTAGTAAAGCTGAAAATTAGTGTAGAAAAAATTGGTAAAGGTGTAGGTTATATATATATATATATATATATATATATATATATATATATATATATATATATATATATATAAGGTGAAAAAAAATATTAAAATGTGTGTGAAAAAAATTTAAAAAGTGAAATTTTAGAAAAAAATACTCTTTAACCTTACCGATTTGAACGACTATAGCAATGCAAAAATAACATTTTTGTTATTTTCAATTAAAATCTCAAATCATCGCTATCTACAGACAATATACCAGAAGATAATAACTACAGAAAAACAAATGGCATAAATAACAGTAACGTAACGAAATTTACAAGAAACTGGAAATGTTTAAAAAAAACAACATGTCAACAACATCAACAACTACATCGGCAAAAACAACAACGACAACATCAAAAGCACTAAGTAGTAATAAAATGATACAGCAATTATAGAAACAAACCGGGATCAAAAAGCAACAACAACAACACATACAAAACCAAGGACAACTGCAACAACAACACGCACACAACAAACCATCACACAACAACAACTACACACAACATCAACTACAAACAACAACAACTACACACAACAACAACTACATACAACACAACAACACACAACTACAAGCTAACACACAACTACAACAACTACAAGCTAAACACACGACACACGCAACACAACAACACCACACGACACACACAACACAACACAACAACACCACACGCACACACATCAAACAAACAAACAAACAAACAACAACCTCGGTGTGATATTCATCATTTTGTTGCAGCACCTCTATGCATAACTCTGCCAGATGTGTCAGATTCTCTATCTTCTTCTTTATATCATCATCTTGATAGTTTTCTTTTCAATGTGATAAAATAACAACAACAACGTCATTTTGAATAATTAAAAACGTTAATTATTAATTAATTAAGAAGAATTTTAATTAAATAATTGATTGATTAATTAATTAAGAGGAATTAAAAAGGCAAACAAAACCATACAGACAAACACAACGCTAACAACAATGGATAATAAATTTCAATATTAGAAAATTTGAAAAAGAAAAACTAAAAAAACATAAATTATAATTGTTATCAACTTTAATGTTTTGAAAAGTTTAAATAAAAATATTATTTTTGTGAAAAAAAAACGAAAAAAAAATCGGAAAAAAAGTTGATGGATAAGGATTGTTGTTCCAGTGTAGAATTAAAATTTATAAGCACGGAAACCAGAATAGATAAAAATATGGAAAGAATAACAAAATAACAAAAATACTAATAAAAAAATGTGAAGTAGATCAAATGAATGAATGAATGAATGAATAAACAAATAGATGATTGAATGAATGAACAAATGACTAAAAAATAAATGATTGAATGATTGAATAAATGAATGAATGAATAAATAAATAAATGAAAGAATGTAATAAATAAAAGTAAAAAAAAAATTAAGCAAATGAAGTGAAATTTCAATTGACGGTGAAATAAACAAATTGTGAATATTTCCAGCTTCAATAAATTGTCGAGAAGGAGAAAATGGCGCAATTTGAAAACGTTAACGACTTTGAAATAATGATGGGCAAAAAAGATAATAATTCATATTTTACAAAAAATAAAAGAAAAAAAATTGTTAATTCGAAGAAAGGAATGTTACTAGACCGAAAATTTGCGTACAACAATTATTTATGATCATGGAAATGTATAAAACAGGCGTGTATGTATATAATTCATTCATCTGTATGTGTTTGCATGCATGTGTATCTATTTGAGTATATGTATGAATTTGTATGTATTGCTTTGTATGTATGCCTTTGTATGTATGCATTTGTATGTGTTTGATTTGAAGATTAAATACAACTATATGCATTTCTACCAGTGGCTACACAATATGCATCATAAAGATATCAAAGACAAAATTCTATAATATGTTAATATTCATCTATAATAGACGCAAAAAACAAACAAACAAACAAACGAACGAACAAACAAAAAGAAAAAACAAAGCAAAAAAACCTGTTTTCTTGCTAACGCTTGATGCTTTTAAAAAATTTAGTCACACGATATTTAAATAAGTAATGAGCAGACATTAATTGGTTCACACGCAAAAATATAACGATATACTAATAGATACGAAAACAAAAGCCTTAAAAACACACATACACAGACACACACATATAGATACACACTTATACCCACATACACGCGGGTACAAACACACGCACACGCACACAGACTTGCAAAATTGACAGATAAAAATGTAATTGACCCAACAAAGAGTAGAAGAAACATCACAGACGATAGAATGAACGGAAACAACATTAAAAATAAACATTGAAGATGTACAAAAAGTAACACGAACAACGATCGAGAAGAAAGAAACGCAAGAATGAAGAACATCAATAAAAACAGCATCAACAACAACGCTGATCAAAAATATCAACAACAACATCTGCACGTAACACTCCTTATAACGTTAAAAAATCACAATCGCAACGACAAAAATAGTATTTGTAACATCGACACCAGACATCGGTCACAAACGAAAACTGAACAACGGTGCACTGTAGGAAGGAAAAAACAGCAACAACAATGGCAGCAACAAACAACTGTAGAGTAGACACACCAACGACGCAAACTACCTTCAACCTTGGACTGTTCGGCGACTTTAGTGTAATTGATGAGAGCCGCCTTCTCGAGACACTTCTTTAAGAACATGTGGATCTCCTCAGCTGGTACTGGTGTCACTATGTCTTTCATTAGTACCTGCGTGCGTGCGTGCGTGCGTGCGTGCGTGTTTGTGTGTACATATTAGTATGTGTACGTGCATGTGTCATTTCATTTAATACCATTCCACGTAAGTGTGTGCGTGTGAATGATTGTTGAATGTGTGCACTAGAGTTTTAATGGTACTATGGTGTATTTACTTAGGAACAGTATCGACAAATGAAACAGCGTTACGTCGAAAATCGTAGTTCACTTATGTATTGTATAAGTTAAAAAAAATAGCAACGACAATAGAAAAAATCCCAATGCAAAACCTTACAAGTGTTTTGCACTAGGGCTACAACTACAGCTACATCTTCTACTACAACTGCAGCTACTACAACAACTACAACTCTACAGTAAAAACGAAAAATATTAATAATAAATACGGAAATATAAGATGGTGCTTTTATTTATACTCGTATGTCTCGATACCAATCTGCACCCATATACGTGTGTGTGTGTGTGTGTGTGTGCGTATGTGTCGTACGTGTGTGTGTGCGTATGTGTGTGTGTGTGCGTATGTGTCGTACGTGTGTAATGATTAGGCCAGAGTAGAGCAAGGATTCATATTTATGTCTGATGCTTAAGTGATGCGATATGCAGTGCGTGCAAGCTGACAGGCAGTTGATCCGATAAAGAGCATGATGTGCAAACATAATGAACGAATAACATGGTTTTTACGGTAGAGTTCTACTGTTACGTCATCACGTAAAATCCAATCATTTCCAACTACAATTAGTAAAGTACTGATGGTCTTCAAACAGCAACAAAAGCATTTGAGTAAAGTTACTTAAGATACCTAAACTTGATGTATAAGTACAATCAACGTACTCAAATTTATAAACAAATATTAGTGGAATATCAGATACTCAGATAATCAGATATACTACATTGAAAGTAGCAAATAAATTGAATCCTAAACATAACCAATGATTTCAGCGGTTTTTATGGTATTTATTGAGACCACAACTAACCCTTTCCAATAAGGAGAGTGTCGCTTTTAGGGCACCCTCTGGCCTCCCAAATGGAAACACGAATCTGAAGTAGTTGGAAAGATGCGACGTTTGAATTGAAATTCAATTGAAAATTAAATAAAAATTATTGGAAATTAATTAAAAATTAAGTAAATTCTTCGTGATTCTTTTATTTAATGTTACAATTTGTTCAGTGACATAAGCTATAAGTTTCAAATTATGCTTTAAAACTATTGCATGCTGTTGTTATTTCGCACAGAATAATATTTCATAATCTACAATTTCTATAAAAAAATTTTCAAAATATATAAATAAATAATTATAGAAAAAAAGAATAAATAAAAATATAATTCAATAATTTATAGAACTAAACCTAAAGTTAGTGATCTGCGTTTCGAGATGGAACTTCAGTTGGTCCTTGATTTCGGCGAATCTATCTCTCTCTTCGTGCAAGATCGATCCTATGCCGTCCGGTCTGTTGTTGGTGGTTGTTGATATTTCAGTTAAAGTTTAGAAAAATAAAGATTCAAAATTTAAAAAATCAATTCCCTACACTAAAAATTATGTCTAGAGGTACTCAACTAATGAATGTGACAGTCTACTTATTATGTAATGATGTCCCGCTGTTAGAAGTGTAACGAAAGGCTTTATAACTGATTCATATTTTCAGTTTGACTCTTATTATTTTGTTTTTTTGCAAAAAATTATAAAATTATATTAAAAAATATTCGCATTTGAAGATATTTTAGCAAATACAAATATATCTGAAGTAACATACTGGTAATGAAAAAATAGAATAAATAAATAAATTGGAATAAAATGAATAAACTTTTTGCCGTGCACATGGGAGGCACAGAATGCGAAACTATAATGCATGAGTGTAGAATCGATCATGGTTCCTTGCTGGGAGTGCTCAAGGAGTTGGGTGAGATAGAAGAGGTGGCGTTTGCAGCCACGAACTCCGTAGCGGGCGCAGTATTCATCGAGCACAAATATCTGGCCTGGACTGAACCAACCCTGTCGTTTGCCAATCAAGTAATTATTAAATTGGATATTTTAAAAAAATTCTAGTGAAAAATCATCAAATCAAGCCAAAAAACAACCATGATCATCATTTTAAAAATATTTGTGTTTAATGAACCAGCTGACCAGCTAAACTAAAGAACTCTAACCAATTTCTGGAGCAAGCCACGGCTAACCTAACTTACCGACCGAGTTACCGACTTACTAACTAACCAACCAACCAACCAACCAACCAAACAACCAACCAACTAACTAACCAGCGATGTGAACTGATCATTGAGTCGATAGTCGAGTGTCAATTTCTGGAGCAACTTGAAGAGATCGTGGTGTTCGAAGTTGCCAGGCACAGCCGTTACAAATTCCTCCAGCCCATGCTTCCGCGCTTTGTCCGTGTCTTGTTGACGAAAAAAATTATAATCAATAAATAAATATTTAATAATAATAACAATAATCATTATAATAGCATTTTTATTGAAGAACAGAATACCGATGATGATTAATACTGTTTGTAGTATAATTATGTAAGATCTATTTATATATGTCCCCTCTAACTATATACATTCGCGTACTTAACAACTCATCATCTAGATTCAAAACTTGCGAGAGAAAAAAAATTACTACAACGTATAAATAACGTCGAATTTTTTATTTCATGTCCTTACTTTCAGTGTACTTTCATTTTAGTTTTTCATTTTATCATTCTTACAAACTCCTATATAAAACTTGTACCTAGAAGTCATACTGGCTCACATCATGTAACACGATATCAGCGCATCTAGTCATGACATCATCATGACATCAAATGATGTCATGATGATGTCATGATGATGTCATGACATCATCATGTCGTCATCGTCATGTCAGGATCATCTCCATCATTCCATCATAAACTTCCTCGTCATCATAAACGTCATGTCATCATAACCGTCATCTTATCATGTGACATCACCATGTGACATCATCTTCAGTACCATCGTCATCGTCGTCGTCGTCGTCAAAACAGTCATCACACTGGGATGATCATTTATTTAAAATTGGAAAAAAATGTAAATGTAGATATGACGCAACTGTGAGCGTTGGAAGATGCATGGATGGATGGATGGTTGGTTGGAAGATGGATGGATGGTTGGATGGTGGGTTGGAAGATGGATGGATGGTTGGATGGATTGATGGATGGTTGGAAGATGGATGGATGGATGGATGGATGGTTGGAAGATGGATGGGAGGATGAATGAAACGGCATCAAAGGACCCATCCAATATAATTCAATATGGAATGAAGTAAAAAATGAAATTTGAAAAAAAATTTTAATGATGAAAAAATGATAAAATGATGAAAAAAACGATAAAATTTAAAAAAATTATGGAAATATAAAACAAAGATGACATTACGAACAAAATTTGAAACGATCCGTTAAAATGTCAGATTTGACGCTATCACAGATAGCATCTTCAACAACTGAGTCAACTTTTTTAATAACATTTTTGTTCTATCTCTTTATTATCATTGTCAACATAATCAACATTAATTGTAATATTCATCGTTACTTCATTATCACCACCTTCATCAAAATCATCATCGTCATTATCATCTTTCGATATTAACAAAGTTTAGTTTCGCTTTCCTTTTCTTAACTATCGTTTATATCATTTTATATGGCATCATCGTTATTATCACCATGTTTTCATCCTCATTACACATCATCTAAGTCCCCCAAAATACACCATAGATAACAATACACAACGTATACACCCAAATATCCAAAAACCAACCTCCTTGAACTTTTGACAGCTGCATGTTAGTACTCTTTGACGGCTGATTGGATGGAGGCATAGGTTTGTGGGACTGCCCCGTGGCTCTATAAATAGCTTGAACCCAAAGTGACCTTTCGTTTTCGTCTTCGGTGGCAAAGGTCGTCTGGTCACCTTCACGCACGATGTTGAAGTAGTACTTGCCGCCTTCCATGCCTGCATTGCATCGCGAAATAATGTAATTATGCCGATAAGAACTACAATATTTACGAGACCAGTTTCGATTTCAAATGGAGTCCTCATCCTATCAAGAACAAAAAGTGCATGCTACATTGAATCACGTGTATTAACATTAACATTCAAAATCATTGACACCCGAATACGAAATCTCTAAACAACAATAGCAATGATGATAGGACCTACGTAAGAGAAATTATTCCAACTAATCATTACAAAAATGTTAGCCAAACTAGAAGATAATGATTAATGATAAAAAGATGACGATGGTAATAATAAAAAAAAATGATAACAAAAATGATAACAAAAATGATAACAAAAATGATAACAAAAATAATGATGAAGAGAAAAACTAATGAAGCTAGCTGGCGTCACGTTTTAATGGCAATTTAAATTGAAGAAATTTAATATTGTCCATAGCTGTGTGCTGTTACGTAACGTAATGAATGATGATAGTGAAGAAGAAAAGATGATGATGAAGATGGTGATGTGATGATAGCGATGATGATAACGATCATGATGGCGCGAGTGAATATTATAAAACTAAATAAAAATGACGATGACGTTCATATATATGACGATGAGAATGACGACAAAAAGGGCTCATGACGATTTCAACGATAATGAACATAAAAAATGATGTCACAAACTACTTTATGTTTGGCATGTTGGCTCGATTATCATGTAATTTATCATCAGTATCATCATTCCTATCATAAACTCATTATCATCACCAGCACACACTCATCGTCATCCTCATCGTCATCATCATCAATAAGGTACACTCATTGCCACCATCAACATACACTCATCATTGCTACCATTGTTAAAGGACATATCTGTAGGTTTGTTAACGCGAAAACATTCTACTTTATTTTTCCATTATTTTAATATTTTTCTCTTCATTTAATCTCGGATAAATTATTTTCTGTTTTGTTCAAACTTAAATAGGAACGAAAACATCTGTCAGTCTGTCTGTTTCCATCATCATCATTCATCATCATCATCATTATTGACATCATCATCGTCATTACATCATCACCACACAACTACCTTTACCATTATAAACACCATATCACCATTAAAGCAGACATCATCGTCTCCACCAATATTCATCATCTTCAATTTCTACGTCCTTATCACCATCACCATTAACAACCGTCGTCATCATCACCACCACCATTATCACCACCCTCTTCATCATCATCACCATCATCATCACCACCACCATCATTATCATCACCGCCACCATCATCTTCATCATCAGCATAGAACCTTCTAGAGGTTCGCAGTAATCAACAGTGAATCCGTCCAACTGTTGTATCTCTACTGGATCCTGCTTGCGTTCGTGGTAGCTACACATAGCAAACGTGTACTGGGATACCTGTGAATACGCAAATGAATGCAAATAAATACAGCGTTGTATATACCCAAAAATGTATATACAAACAACATACACAAAAATGTATATACAAACAACATACACAAAAATGTATATACAAACAACATACACAAAAATGTATTATACAAACATGTATTCAAAATTTAGAATTATTTTAAGGCTGGGAGACTCTGAAGTTCTAAGAAACTCGTACGGCCAACCAGAAACAAAAACAATACAAACATAATAGTACAAAAAGGTATATAGAAAATATACTTAAACATGTACACAATCTAACCCTATCTATCTACACACTAACGAACGCTAAGATCTATGTATCCATAGACACACAAACATATAGACACGCAAACACAATGATGACGTAAACATACACAAATATATACAATATCTTCAATATTTACATTCAAACGTATATACAAACATATACATGAATACACGAACAAATATATATGCTTACATAAACACATGAGACATTCAAATAATTGCAATTAAAAAGCCCAAACATCGCTACAACGACGACAACAGCAGCAACAACAACCACAGCCACAACAGCCACAATTGCAACAGCCACAACTGCAACAGCCGCAACAACAGCAAGTAAAGCAACGAAGAACCTGAACAAGAACGTAATAACGTTTCTTCCATCTTTTCCATACTGATCTCCCTTGAGCGTACAAATATCTGTGGAAGGCCAAAACATACAAAGCATATTAATTTCATGCGTTCGTATCTTTTCATGTTTGTTTATTTGTCTGTGTGTGTTTGTATCTATGTGTGTGTGCACGTGCAATTGCGTGAGTGATAGTTTGTTATTGTATTTTCATAAGCGGGGTGTCAGAGTAATTCGATTGTTTCATAACATGAATTCTTCCGCACAAGTGTTTGCCTCGTCTGTTTGTTGTTTGTTCACTTGTTGACCATTTCGCATGCATAACCATTCTGATGGTTATGACGCGTGTGTGTTTGCAAGTGTGTTGTACATGAAAGCGATTAAGACATCATAAACTAACGCAATATATATGTGTGTATAAAGTATGTGTGTTTGTGAGTGCCATGCATGCATCCACATTGAAGTATAACATCATAAAAAAAACAGAAAAGAAAACAGTTGACAAAATTGAGAGAGAGCGTGCGAGAGAGAGAGAGATAGCTAAGAAAGAAAACCTTAGTTTAATTTTTGAGCTGACTAAAGAAATGTCGAACAAAACTCATGCAATTACATGATGAATGTCAGCAGAGCAGTGTGACGAGGCGTGGCGATACAAACAAAACGAATAAATAAATCAAACAACCAGCCAACCAACCAACCAATCAACCATTTAACCAATCAATCAACAATTTAACCAACCAACCAGCCAGCCAACCAACCAACCAACCGACCAACCAACTAACCGACCAACCAACTAACCGACCAACCAACCGACTAACCCGCAGTGTTTCAAATTTTGAGGTTTATCAATCCTAATGGCGATTTTGATCTTCAGATTTTTATCAGGGCAGTTTTTGGTGGTGGTCAGTTGGTACCATTCCGGGGTCTTGGGGCTGGTAGCAGTGGGTGTTATTATCACCTGTGTGCCGTGGTGGAGATGGGTTAGGTTTATTGATGGGGACGACGACAATGATGAAATGATGACGATGGTGATTAAAGTTTGATGCATACAGTAATGATGGTGATAATTATAAAATGGTGATAATATTGATGATGATATTAACTCTGAAATAATTGAAAATACTCAATTAAAAAACGCAACTCAAAATATAGGTTTCCAATGCATAGTACAATTCAATACCATACAATACAAGATAACACAACACAATAAAACACAATACAACACAACAGAATGATGATGTTAAAAAAAAACATTGAACTCATCATCATCATCCGAACTCTCATCTTAATTTTCATAATCATTTTCTTCGATATAGCCAACATACCAAAATATAATCATCTAATCAACATCATCATCACCACCACCGTAGTAATCATCATCATAACCGATGACGTCATCATCAAAACGTATACGTCATCATCCGCGGAACGACCATAAATATGAAATCTCATAGAACGGATGCACTGAGAAAGATAAAAAGAAACATTGAATGAAATAAATTTTAGCAAACGAACCAACGCTGACAACCACTACAAAGATATATCAACGAAAAAATACCACAAAGATATATCAACAAAAACACTTAAAAAATGTTATTGCGAAAAAATACAACTAACAATAACACAACAACAACAACAACAAAAACAACAACAACATACGTGATATAAAAACAACAAAACAATAACACAACAAAACAATGAAAAACATGATAAAAAAAGCATCAGCAAATCAACCAACAACACAATAACAACCACATTTCGTCAACAGGAAACCAGCCGACAACAAAATAATTTCTTCTCAAAAATGTCAAACCGGAAAAAACATTGCAATGTGATGCAAATGCTAAAAGATAACACACACACAACACAGCACAAACACCATTATCATAATCATTATCATAATAAACATCATCATCATCATAATCATCATCATAATAACCATCATCATCATCATGATCCTTATCAGAACCTACCCTTCCAAGTTCCTTATCTTCTAGACTGAGAAGACCTGAACTCTCAGTGAACAGCTTGACTTTGACTACTGGCAAAGGGTAGTTCGTCGTGAAATCGCCTTGCGTGTCCCAGCTGTGTGTGTATTATATATATATATATATATATATATATATATATATATATATATATATATATATATATATATATAAAGTTTGTCTTATCAATTTTCCTTACTAGAATTTTCTTCTGGAAGCTGTTCAATTTGTTAAAAATACAACTATCCAAGTTCATCATGAAAATTTAATGAAACTGTTTTTATCCGAATTCATCCTGCAGATAGGGCCTTATCTTAAAGTCAATAATAACGATAAATGCAAATTACAAGAGCAAAGGCCTTGGTTATATAAATTCTCTATATAAACTGCAACAAGTGCCGAAGATGATTGAAAAATCGAAATAGTCCTATACACTCGAGAATAAATCAAAAAACTGTATATTAATGATAATGATGACGGATGAGTAGGAAAATGATGAAGAAAATTATGACTGAAAATGATGATGATAAAGATGACGATGATGATGATGAAAATGATGGCGACTACAATGAAAGAGTGATAAAACATCTTCCCAGCAGCAAGCAGGTGGAGATCTTGGCAATTGATTTATAGGAGTTTCATCATTTTTATTTCATTAGCAATTAATTTACCATTGAAAAATAGCGACAACGTTTTAAGAGGTAGCAAAAATATGAATGCATTAAATAGCATTTAATATAATATTTTCATCAATATTATTAATGAAATTTAACAAAAATATGAAATGAAAGCACCTAATATGTAATTTGAATCAATATTATTAATGAAATTTAAACAGGTATCAAATATAACCACTGATATAGTTCAAGCAAACGTAATCTTCTATCTTCTACCTGCCATCAGCACTAATGTGTAGAAATACTATTAAAAATTGTTGAAGAAGCATAACTTGACACTTCAGTCTTATTATTACTGCTACATATCAGTATAAATTAAATACCACGACAATAAATTCCTTTACTAATAAATAAAATGTGATAAAACAAATTTTTTAATCTACACAAGTAAACTTCTAACTCCTGAAGCTTAACTAAACTTCTAGATAGCATTAAATACTAATTATCAGGTAGATTAAACCCTCTAGAAGCAGCCATCATTCATAAATACTACTTCATGACTATAATTAGTTTCGTTGTAGTAGTAGTAGCAAGTAGTGGTAGTAAATAGTAGTAGTAGTATTATTATTAGTAGTAGTATTAGTAGTAGTAGTAGCGGTAGTAGTAGTATTAGTAGCAGTATTAATAGTAGTAGTAGTATTAGTAGTAGTAGTAGTAGTAGCAGTAGTAGTAGTAGCAGTAGTAGTAGTAGAAGTACTACTACTAGCAGACGATAAAAGAAGCAACAGTAACAGTAGTAGCGGTATGGGAGTAGTTATATTATAAATAATAATTACATCCACTGCAGTAAGTAGTTATATAGCCACAGTTAACAGTTCAGAATATAGCAGAGACAGCGTTTGAATCAGGTTTCCACTGAAGAACATTATAAGAAGCAGCGATCCTACCATTTCGGCTATCAAGTGGTCTGAACAATTGATTAAGATTAAAAAAATAAAAAAATACCAAATAATGTTTATTAAGATAATTTTTTTTCTCTTCCAGATACATTAACGCTTTTATTGGAGCACGTGATTCTGATGACGTCTATTGTCACGTGAAAAATTCGTGTAAAAGTGAGCATAGATTTCAATTCATTAGAATAAGTACCATTCAATTGAACAGTGCTAAGGTTAGCCAGTGTACTAGCGTACTTATAATAAGAATGTGAACGCGAACATATGCAGAGTTAAATAAATTAAGTACTATCAATAAGTGAGGGTCTGGAAATTTTAGATTACAATTCAGAGGCATGCGTGCGTAGTTTTAATGATAAAAAAATAATTAATGCAATTAAAGAAAACAAATAAAAATACGAAAAAAAAATACAAAAGTATGAACCTCTCTCAAAGAAACAAAAACCAAAACAATAACGAATGAATATATAATGAAAAAAATCAACAACAACAACAGCAGCAACAACAACAACCAACAACAACAGCAGCAACAACAACCAACAACAGCAATAACAACAGCAACTACAACAAAAACAGCAAAACAACAAAAACAGCAAAAACAACAGTAACAACCAAATCGACACAACGGCAATAACAAGGACAACAAAAACAAAAGAACATCTGAATAGCAAGTGAGTGAGTGAGTGAGTGAGTGAGTGAGTGAGTGAGTGAGTGAGTGAGTGAGTGAGTGAGTGAGTGAGTGAGTGAGTGAGTGAGTGAGTGATATTTTTGTTCTACTTGCAAACTGTCAACATCAACTAAAATTTGTCTGTTATTTGTTTATAACGACTGTGTAACAGGAATGATAACGATGATGACGACAACGATGATGAAGATGGTGACAATGGTAATGATGACGACGATAAAAATGATGGTGGTGACAATGGTGGTGATGACGACGATAAAAATGATGGTGGTGACAATGGTGGTGATGACGACGATAAAGATGATGATGATAATGATGACGATGATGATGATGATGACAAAATGAGGACGACGATGATGAAGACGATAACAACGATGAAAATGATAAAGATGAGGAAGACGATGACAAAGAAGGACAAAGACTCTATCAGATGATAACGTAAAATGATAAATAGAATGAGAATGAACCGGAGATATCCGTAAAAGAACGAGTACAAATGAAGATGATGATGATGGAAGCTGAAGATGACAGTGAAAGCGGGAAGAAAATAAAGAAGATGATGATGAAAAAGAAGAAACCGATGATGATGACTAGGATGATAACGGACGAAAAATGATAGAGATGATGACGAAGAAGAAGATGGACGTTGAAAAAATTGTCTTTCTTGATTAGGATGCATGTGCCGTTCAAATGCAAAAGAAAAATAATTTCCAAACATTGCCATCTAATGCAGTTTCAGTGTGTGCGTGAGTGTGTGTGTGTTTGTGTGTGTGTGTGTGTACCTAGTTATGTTTGTGTTTAAACGTATTTTAAAGTTGAAAGATGGAATAATGAAATATTAACATTGTTCAAAATGAACGCATGCATATTAAATACAAAAGCTCTTAGACACGACTACCGACAAATAGCACATGAAATAAACCAATATAACATTACATATACACAGATGTAAATTCTAACAAACGCGTCAACAACATCACTAACAGGCTGTAAAATAATGATGGGCGTTACGCGTGCACGCTACTACGATACAACGTACGCAACACGCATACATCAACACAGCTTACAACATACATCAGTGTACAACAACATAAAACCTTGGAAAAAAGTCTAACCCAGGGCTTAAGCTAAATGTTTAATGTAAGTGCAAACACGCACACGCACACACATAAGTTTAAATATACGTCCATACACGTACATACACGTACACACACACACACACAGACAGACACACACAGGTATATTTATTTATCTACTTTGATATATTTATTGACGTATATTAATAATTTATAAAGACAGAAGATTTTAATGTAACAATCATTGCTCCTGAGGTGCCAATGATGTATTAGTACGTTATAACAACACGGCAACAAAACGCCGTGGATCAGTTCACCAAAAAAAAATTGACTGCATGTGACATTTCTGAAAAAAAGTTTCACAGAAAAATTTTTTCATCACGGAAAATATGCGAATAATGAAACAATAAAGTAGAAAAAAGGCAAAAACAAAATACTAAAAACCATAAACAATACATTATAAAAACAACTAAACAACAAACAAATAAATGGGTTAATATAAATTAAACATACAAAAAAACCCAAAACTTATGAAAAAGTAAACAACCCCCTCTTCATATACACACATACACGCACACACACAAACACACAATCACATACATACACTAACGCACATATACATATACACAGATACACAACAGTCTACACACAAAATAAACGCAATATATACAAACACAAAAACAGACAAAATAAAACCAAACAACAACAACAAAAACACGTCTATATGTTAAAATTTTTCAAGATTTTTCCCACGGTAACTGTTGTTGGATCAGTTGATTCCCAAGAACATTTTTACAACGAGCAAAATGATGACGACGACGACGATGATGATAAAGATGATGACTATGAGGAGAGGAGAAAAATGATGGAGAAAAGGATAATGATAATGGTGATGATTAAGAATTAAACGATGATTAAGAAGATGATATGATGGTAACTGAAATGAAATGATGATATCAAAGTTGATAGATAAACAGAAATTGAAAATACGATGCGCACGCACGCACACACACACACACACACACACTCACACACACATAGGATCAAACACACACAAACACACACACACACACATAGGATCAAACACACACAAACACACACACACACCTACATACCATGGTCTGGAAGCTTCTGCCTGATCCGTCTGCAACTTGTCGGCCCCATCGACTTCCATCGTGCAGTAGACGATCTTGTTTGCCGGCAGGGACTTCAAACCCTTCACCTCCATGACAACCACCTGATGACGTAATGATGACGTGACGATGGTGACGAGCCGGTGATAATAGTGATTAGGATAATCCTGACGATGATGATGGCGATGATGGTGAGGACGATAACGATGATGACGTGATGACGAAACGATGACGTAATGATGACGTAATGAGCCGATGATAATGATATTCTGAATATTAAATGAACGGCTATAACAGAACATAAAATTCATTATTTTACTGTGTTTGAACTACTCGAAATAGAAATGAATAAATGAATGAATGAATGAATGAATGAATGAGTGAATGAATGAGTGAATGAATGAATGAATGAATGAATGAATGAATGAATGAATGAAGAATAAATAAATAAACGCATGAATGAATGAATGAATAAATGAATAAATAAATAAATAAACGCATGAATGAATGAATAAATGCATGAATGAACTAAAAAACGAAGAATGAATGAAATGGGAATAAATAAAGGAAATAATGAACGAAGGGACGAATGAACTTAAACAGCATGTTGTGCCATATATGAATAATGTTCAGCCCATGTAGGTTCAGCCAGGCAAAATCACGCGTGAAGTACATGTAGTAGTCGTTATGTGGCTTTTGGTGTGTGTGTGTTTCTGTGTGCGCGTGCGTGTGTGCGCGAGTATGTGACAGTTCCTTCGTTCGTTCGTTTATTCATTTATTTATCTACTTATTTATCTATCTATCTATCTATTTACGATACGATATTTTATTTATTTAAAAAAAAAAAATGAAGCCAGGATGACTGTGATAAAGATCATACTGAGCTCATCTAGCACAGCCACCTGAAAACAAATGTATAGAAATACACATATTTACATCCGAACGTTAAACAGATTCATCCACTGCAAACAGACCTCCATAGCGAAAGTCAGAACGAGATCAACTTTCGAGAGTGCAGGCTCATTCTCCTCGGACATGTCCATCTTGGTCACTCCACTGCTGTTCGTCCTGGGTTAATTAATCATAAATATGACGATGCTAACGACGATGGCGGTTGTACTGATGCCAACAACGATGCAAGTAACGTAAATACGAATAATTGATATAGAAGAAACAACAACATGACTATTATTATTATTACAAGTCAATTTGTACAGCGCTATTTACAAACAACAATGCAAGTAGGAACAATTAGGTAGCAACAAAAATAACATAAGTAATGAAATTTAAGTGACAACAATTAAACAAGAACAAAAACCAAAATAACAACAATGTAACCAGCAGCAAAGTAACAAAAATATAAGCTATACAGGTATTACTAAGGAGTAATAAACCATTGGACGAAAAATTTTGATTGAAAAAGGTAAAACAACTCCAACAACATCAAAACATACTGCCTCTCTACTATAAAGGCAAACACAACACACAGGATGGTACCTATATCAAGCTGATTAACTTTGATACAATACAACCATATAAAATAACCACGTGGCTGCAAGCTCGAGAGCAAAACATCTTAACCACATGTATACCACTGTTTATGAAGGAAAAAATACTTATACTATGACATTATGGATGAATGTGTAAATATAGAAAAAACAACCACATAAATATTTACATAGAAATATATATATATATATATATATATATATATATATATATATATATTAGTACATATTAAACATACATAAAATCAAGGAAACAATAAAACGTACAAACTTTGCAACATACGCAAACAACATTAACATACAAAGCAAACACACAACACAAACACACAAAGCACACATACAAAACAAACACACAACACAAACACACAAAGCACACATACAAAGCAAACACACAACACAAAGCACACATAAAACACACACATACAAAACAAACAT